CAACAACTTATATATATGCCAGATCGGTAGTCAACAGCTTATATATATGCCAGATCGGCAATTAACAGCTTATATATATGCCAGATCGGTAGTCAACAGCTTATATATATGCCAGATTGGCGATCAACAACTTATATATATGCCAGATCGGCAATCAACAACTTATATATATGCCAGATCGGCGATCAACAACTTATATATATGCCAGATCGGCAATCAACAACTTATATATATGCCAGATCGGCGATCAACAACTTATATATATGCCAGATCGGCAATCAACAACTTATATATATGCCAGATTGGCGATCAACAACTTTTATATATATGAGATCAGCTATAATTAGTTTATATATAGTGTCAATTAGTTGTTATCAGCTTACATAATCTTGCATAATATTGCATAATTATATATAGGCACATATAAGAGAATTTAAACATGTATAAAAATATAAAAAATAAAGTTTGTGTAACATACGTCATTATGCATATTCGCGTAATGTAAACAATACAATTGCATTGCTGAAAAAAATTGGTAACTTTTGGCTATACTTGTTATATAACGTGCATAATCATGCATAATCTCGCATAAATGATCTATGTAAACAATACCATTGAATTCGTGGGAAAAAATGACAAAAAATAGCTTTTTTCGCAAAAAATTTCCTTTTTTGGTTAGTCTGAATGCATCTAGCGTGAGAAGTCTTGGCATTTTTAGTGTGGGAAGATAGGTTATATAAATAGCAACTATGTAAAAGCTTGGCATGGAAAAACATTTAACTTTAAACTATCAAACAGCCGTTCCAACAATAATTAAATATATCTCTTCTAATGAAAGTTCAAATTCTTACTAAGTAATAATTTTTTAATTTTTTTTGCTATACAAAGAAAATTTAGTTGTATAATATAAAAGTATCAAAATATGTAAAGAGCAAGTACAGAATTAATAAAAATTAATTTTCATATTTTTTTACTAATTTTCTTATAAAAATCAAAATATTATTATATAAATCAATAAAAAAATATATGAACAAGTCAACTTATTAATATTTATTATAATTTTAATGTATTTATATACTATATATATATATATAAAGATTATAAAAGAGTTGTGAATATATATAAAATTAAAGATTAAATATGATTAGAGTATGTAACTTATATTTGACGAGATGATCGGATATGACTTGGATATTGACAAGTGTGAATATATATAATGTGATAGATCTAATGGTATTGACTAATATCAGAGATAGATAAGATATTATAGGCTAATATTAGTAATAAATCAAATGTTATTAGCTAATATTGATTATATATTACATTTTATTAACTTATATAAGTTGTAAATTGGATGTGATAAATATATATATAAAGTACAGATTGACTGTTATTGATTTATATATTACTGCAAAAAAATGCCCAATTTTCATATATGATGGGATGTAAAATTTGGTGGACAGAAAATCCAAATTTGTAGTGCAGGATTTTTTTTTGTAGAATAAGCATTGCAATTTTTTTAAAACGATTCTATTGGTCATAGAGCACCAAGTAGAATAAAAAATACAATAATAAACTTAAATTGAATGAAATAAACTGTACCTGAATATATATTTATCTTCTTTACTATTTAAAAATTAGTATTATTTTAATAATTATTAAGCAATGACACCAACCCATAAATCAAACAAAACAAAAGAATGCAAATGTTCTGTTTGCATGACAAGATTTGGAGGATCAGATACAGTGTCTATACAGACATTTAATTTTCATAAAAGAAGAGATGATGCTGGAATCAACATCTTTTATAATAGATGTAGGGAATTTTCTTTTAAGTTTTAATTATATTTATATTTATATTTTTGATTTAATAACATATGTAATGTAGTGATTATTAAGAGATCAGTCAAAACTACTGTAAGCTATGTTTCTGAAGTTATCAACAATGATGAACAGAACTCGGTGACTATAGACAATGATTATGATATGGATTATGACTTTGATGGTAAAAATATATATTTTTATTTTTATTTTTATTTGCTTTAACTTCTTTTATGGTTCTGGTAGAAATGGACACCAGTATAGAAGTAGACATGGAGACACAAGAGTCTATTCGAGTCTTACCTCTCTCAGAATCCAATGCTGTCTTTGGTTATGAGAATGAAGAGTTTAACTCTGATCTTGATTCTGACAGTTACAAAGACGATTTCAGTGAGGATGACATGCTTGATAGTGAAGGTTTGCACACTTTCATAATGTATATTGGGTTCTGCTGTATAAAATAATAGAAATTATTTTTTTTTAAAAAAGACAACTTTCCTGAATTTGACTTAGAATTGAGTTTCATCCATCGTTTTATTATACAGGTCCTTGCACTCTTTGTATCCTTATATGTTGTCGATGAAGGCGTCATTCTTCTCATTGCCATCATGAACAAAATACTTGAGCTTTTCAGAGATTCATTCCGTCTCCCAGTTAGTATCTCTGGTCTCAAAAGCATGGCAGGATTCAATACCTTTACAGACGGTATAAAGAAATACGTTTCTTGTAGCAAATGTCACAGCATATATAAGAACAATGAATCAATACCCCGCTTCTGTATCTTTGATAAATTTGGGAATAACTCAATGTGCGGTAATAGTTTGTTCAAGTCGGGAAATCAGTCGTCCATTCCAAAAAGAACATATGTGTATCACTCTGTTCAGAATTCGATCAAAGCTCTCTTTTCTTGACCTGATTTTGAAACCCAAATCGACTCGTAGAACTGTAGCCTGAAGGCTGAGAATACTATGTTCGATGTGTACAATGGCTTGATGTGGAAGGATTTGAAAGACACTAATGGAATTCCCTTTGTTTATGGCAACCGCTCACTGATGTTGATCTTAAACATTGACTGGTTCCAGCCATTCGATGGTGTGACATATTCGTGTGGTGCAATTTACCTGGCTGTAAACAATCTTTCTCGAAGTGTGAGATTCAAGAAAGAAAATGTCATTCTCGTTGGGTTAATGCCAGGTCTGAAAGAAGCAAAAAAATCCGAGATAAATTTGTACCTCAGACCTCTGGTTGATGAATTAGAAAAGTTGTACAAGGGAGTCAGAGTCCAGACATATCAATGCCCAAATAGTACCACCATCCACGCTGCTCTGTTTATGGTTGCCTGTGACATCCCTGCTGCCCAAAAAGTGTGTGGATTCATGTCCAATACCAGTACAAACGCATGCCATAAATGTAATCACCAATTTTCCCGATTAGCTGGAACGAGTTTGGTTGATTATTCTGGATTTGATTTCTCAAAGTGGCTCCTTCGCACTAAGAATGATAATTGTAAGGATGCTGAGGTCTGGAGGAATGCAACCACTGAAGCTGAGAGACATCATTTTGAAGTTGAAAATGATGTTTGCTGGTCCGAACTGCATTGTCTCCAGTACTTTGACGTTGTCCGCTGCATGCTCATTGATCCAATGCACAATCTCTTCTTAGGCACAGCCAAGAGGATGATGGAGAAATGGGTTGCAGATGGTCTAATTGAAAATAAAAAACTTGTTGCCATGCAGAAAATCATTGAAAACATGACATTGCCGCCTGATTACACTATGCTAAGATCAAAGATTTCAAAGGGATTTCCCTTTATGAAGGTAGACAAGTGAAAATCGTGGTGTCTGGTATACTCTCCAGTAGTTCTACAAGGCGTACTACCAAAGCAAAAGTTTGAGAATTGGATGTTTTTTGTGAATGCCTGCCGTTTCCTTACCAAGCCAAATGTTTCCGAAGATGATGTACAGTCAGCACACATAGCACTTGAGAAGTTTGGTAAAGGTTGTGAAAGGCTGTATAGCAAGGATCTGTTATCTCCAAACATGCATCTCCATCTTCATCTTCGCGACACAATCAAGGACTTTGGGCCAGTTTATGGGTACTGGCTCTTTAGTTTCAAGCAATACAACAGCGTCCTAAAGAATATCAATACCAACAGAAGAAGCGGCTTTGAAATGACATATATGAAAACATTCATTGAAGATACCCGTAAAGGCGATTTTGTTTGCAATTTCTTGAAGACATCTGGTCCATTCAATTTCTCCAGCATCTTTGATAAATTGGTAACTGGTTATAGTCCTGCTGATTCTACAACTAGCACCGCCTTGTACAATTGGTTCTCTCTACCAGACTTTCTTGATGCTGCCAAAAATCCAAACTTGTCAATTTGTGGTAACAAGCCTTTGCTGCCATCAGCGCTGCCCTTGCAAAAAAAAGCGTATGAGATGATACCAAGACAGGAGTATGATTGTTTGGTAGGATAGTACCAAGCTGTTTACAACGATCCCACTATCTCCAGTTGCAAAGACATGATTCAAGATACAGCTTTTGTCAATGACTGGATCGAAACGCTCAAATCCATCAACCTCCTTGGCCAGAAATTCAAGGGAAGTAGAGGTACGAATGGAAGAGGATCATATATACAAGCAATGTTCATAGAAGGTCAAAACAGAGCAAAGTATGCGTATGTCAGAGAGATTCAGTATCTATTTGTTCATTCATTTAGTTCACTTGTTTCTACTCGACATCACAGAACACCCCAAAGTAGCCAATATACATTTGCTTATGTAAAATGATACAAGGCTTCCAAGGAGACAAGTAGAAAAATTGCAGGTGTAGAAATATGGAATGTCACGTTTTCTTTGCCTGACTTTCAAAGCATCTTGCCAGTGCATCGAATTCTCCTTTCTGTTGCAATTGTTGACCATATAACATTACGAAATATCAGCAAAAAACTTATTGTTCCTTTGCCTAGAAAACTTTACTTTTAAAATATATAATTATCCCTTCTTTTCTTTCTAATAATATTATTCAATTTTTTTAATATGACAGTGAAAAAAAAGAGAGCAAATTGTTTGTTTTTATTGGTTTTGAAATGCCCAGACAGGAAGGATCACGGTCAGGTAACTGGAGACAGGAGTGACCACAATGGTTTTTAGGTATCTGGGCATTCTTTGCTTTGATTATGGTGTTGCAATCTTCTTGTCATTCTCTGCTGCCAAGAAATCAATGAACTGAATAAGCATATTCAGCTATATATAATTAGTTAGTTTATATCTGTACAGTCATCTTTTTATAGAAATATACTATAGTGTACACCTTTAAAAAAAATTATTTTAGCACTTCTTCAACTAGGACGAGCAACCTGCAAAACCCGCACACGGATTATAGGAGTGACGTCCTCATCTTCCGATTCACCATCAGACATCACACTCTTCTCGAGGAGATGCAAGTATGCCATCTCATCAGGGTTACCTGGCTTGTATCCCATCTCAGTGTCAATTGCTAGCCAATTGTTAATGTAAGTATCAATACAATGCAAGCGAATCTAGATATGTCTTAAAATGATTAGAACAGAATGCAAAATATTTAATTTCTTTTTTTTATTTGTAATTTTATCTCAATGCAACAGCTGTTGATACGATTATTGCGCCTTTTGGAAGACGCTTGCTCGGGGGTTGTGTTGACAGCACGAAAACATGTCTTGTAATTGTTTTTTATTTTCTGCACTATCATATCCTCCCAGAACCCAGCTGTGTGAGGCTGGGCAACGATATACTGTTGGAGGTAATTAATCACCTCAACATTGTCAGGATGATTGATCCTCTCATCCGTGTTCCATCGCCTGCGGCTTTTGTTTTCAGCAACAAGCTCAGGATCATTCGAACAGAAGTTTCTCGCCCACATTCTCCCATTGATGAGATTTTATATGATTATTATTATTATTATTTAGGTAGTGTGTTAAAGCATGAAGTCAGAAAAAATCATACCAGAACAATTGCACGCATTTCGCCTTTGGTGTGTCTATTTGTAGACAAATTGGCGGCAGTTACTCTCTGAGTTACAGAAGATGCAACAAGAGCTTGCTGGGCAATGGCTTGGTTGTGAGCATCGACCAGAAAACGAATTCCAGTGTTGGCTTTGACAGTACAATCATACATCATGTTGATGGCTGCCATAACCACTGGAAAAATAGGGTAATTTCATCTGGATCAAATGTACCAAAAATGTAGATGATTGAGCCAATATCATCACAATTTTTGTGATATATCATTTTGAGCAATGGTACGATATCATCTATGGTGCTAATGCGTATCATCATAACAACGGGTACACGAAAACCCAATGTAGAACGATTGTCAGTCCGCAAACTATGGAAACTGAATAAATATTGTAGTTACGCTTTACTCCTATCGAGTCTACCTCTTTATGTGTTATATTTTGAGGTCTATAAAGAGCTAGCGTCCCATATTATTATTTTTACCGGGTTTTTTTATTGGCTACAGAAATGCTTTAAAAACTATCAAAGAGATGATTGTAGGTTTTTTACAATATAAAGAAATGATGATAGTTGGTTTTTTATACGTGCTCAAAGTGATGAAACTAGGTTTTTTATACACACAAAAGCAATGAAACTAGGTTTTTTTACAATGGAAAAGAGAAACAAAGCATGGGTAGATTTTTATAAACAAGCCTCTTTGGTTTGTTTATTTATTTTACTTTTATTTATTTATTTTTTGGAAAAACATTGGGTTATACATTTTTTGTTCAATTTTGTTTTATTTGATAGGAAAATCATTTCTAGATAAAAATCCTAATTTCGCGACAGTTTTGATACTATAGCTATTATAATCGCTAATACTTCTTGCTCGCTATATATAATTTAAAGCCTTTCGGGAGTAGACATGGAATACATACTTTAATAGCGGGAATGCTATTAAAAAATGATTAATAGAAAAGAAGAATTAGTAAATGATTTAAATTGAAATTTCTTCATAAATACTTACAAGGCGGAGAAGACTTGACATAAAATTGATATAAACATATTCTTCAGAATTATCAAGACAATACCAATAGTCTTTGAATAGAGATACATTCTAAAAATGAATAATTATTAATATTGTGCGTAGTAAAGGCATATTTATTAAATATATTGTAGTTAACTTACCAAATATTACTGATTATACGTCTTCGTGCATAATATTAGACATAACTAATAAATCATAATAAAAATAAATATATATCTATGAGGAAGACAAAAGAATAATTTGAATTTTTTTTAAGAAAAAAACTTACCATCATGTTCGATTAAGAGATGATGAGACTCAATGGAAATGAGTAGCAATGGCTAGACAAACAATATGATGTGTGGTGATCCAGACACTCGGATGTTGGATTTATCACATATAAGAACATATTCATATTGGGATAGCGTAGTAGCTATCATCTTGTCAGTATAAAATATATATAAACGATTAAGTAATCAGCCCAATAATTATTACAGTTAGTACTGTAGATAATATCTTAAAGATTGTTAAGATAATTATATCATACTGCCGGGTAAACTGTGTCAGATCGATATGGAGCTAATTTAGTAGGAAGTCCTAAAGCTCTAGTATAAAAGAGAAAAGAATAGCTAAGAGCTAAAGAAGTACAATTTATGACTTGATGTCATAACTGTAACACCGACACTAGTTAAGCAGTAAATACACTCTAATAACCAAATATAGTAAAGGAAGAAAGCCTTAAGAAACTAAGACGTAATGACAAGAGCAGATTGTGTTTTCTTATAAAAAGGGACACTTTTTATTTATGAATAAAGACAACTTATATACAGTCTCAAAGTATTTCTATACGTCTCTATTATCAAATATTTTATTTTTCTATTGTTTCGTACCTGAAATACCACATGATGAGTAACAAAGATCTGTAAGATAATGATATCTTACCTTGATATATCAGACAGAGTATAGCCAAACAAAGAGACACATATTTGGTATTGAGCTATAAAAGAAAGAAAAAATTATAAGTGAAATTGTAAAAACATAAGCAAAAGAGAAACAAAGAAAATATCAATAATAAATGTTGTTAAAAGAAAAAAAAAGGAAAAAAAAAAGACTTGTCTTAAAATCCAGTTTGACCCTGACAAAATGCGGGCTGTAAAAAGTAATACTCCAAAAGAAGATGACCACCGTCATCTTGAAATACTACTTTGTGCCTCATTGAGTTAGAAAAGAAGTTGTCTAAATGTGGATCAAGCGGTTGAGAGATGTGCTTAAATATCAAATGAAAGGTAGAGAGTTAATCTGCACCGCTTATCCTCTTTACTAGTATGTGAATTTTAAATATGATATAACAAGTGTAGTGAATTGTACAATATTAGTTGAAAATTATTAATATTTATTTTATTAACAGAAAATGACAAAGCGTATTCCTACTGCTCCCCGCCGACCCAACCTACGCATGAATGCTGTTCTTAATAGCACAATTGCAGGTGTTGTTGCTCCAATTGATACACCAACTCCAGAAGTAGCAGTTGACACAGCCCCTGAAGTTCAAGTCGCTGTGACCCCAATGGATCACGTCCTTACCTTGTTGGCAGCCAACAATGTGTCGATGCAATCCTTGCAAGAAAATGCAAAAGGAGTGACTGATGCAATAACTCATTTGAAGAATGGCCTGGATTTGTCCAACAAGACAAATAAATTTTTGAAGAACTCGGTCCTTCAGCTCATGACTGAAAATGCTGAAATAAAAAAGGCAATGACCAGCCAAAATTCCGTGATGCCTTCTGCTGTACCAGCGGATTCTTCTTCTTCCATGGATGATGATCTTGACCTTGGAGCGAAACATCATCCCTTGATTTCTGTAAGTAAATTGATAATAATAACATTACTGATTAATATATCTAATACTGTTTTTATAGCAACTTATCAATAGTTACATCAAGAAACCGAACTTTGTTAGCACAGACCTGCTCAAAGTTGCTGAGAATAATAATAGATCAGCATGGTCAATGACTGGCACGTATGGCGACAAGTACAACAAGACACTTGCACTGGCTCTCTTCAAGTACCTGAGACCTCAAAGATGTTGCACAAATGTGTCAAAGAGTGTCATTATGAATATAATAAAGAATCACTACCAAAATCAAGTGCGAGTCTTCCGGACCTCAGCAGAGAAGATTATGGTTAGAAATAAAGCTGGAAGAAGACGCAACAGAAAGAAGACCGTAAGTTTTAAAATAAAGTTAATTTACTATTGATTTAATGTTTTAATACAATACTCTTTGGTAGCTTCTTGACCGTCGTATTATCACGTACCAGACATACACAGAGGCTATTCATGAGGGCATGAATCGATATGATTGCGGAAATATTCTTTCTATTGACGTGATGTCTGATGGCGAGTCGGATGGAGATAACAAAGTGCCGGCATATCGTCCCAGCTGGAGAACTGATGAGGTAATGTTAAACATCTATTTATGTTTTAAAGAAAATAATAATACTTTATTAATACTATTTATTCTTTAAACCAGCTCCAGACGTTTATTAGTACTATTGATGAACTTACTGTTATCCATTTGAAGAAAAATTCAGAAAGCTTGAAAAAGCGCATCCCTTATGAGAAAGAAGTGAGCATTCCCAAGAATTTGGCAGTCACTTTACCAGATTGGTGCTTTTCAAAATAAATCATTTTTTTCTTGCCAACTATTTTAGAGTCTTTTTTCTATTTGTTTATGTTTACGGATTAGCATGATGTATACAGATGCATGTATAGCATGCCAAGTACAAACAAAAATTTATAGAAATAATAAAAAATAAACGTGCAGCTATATATATTAGTCTGTATTAATTAATATTTCTTTTTTATACGTGTTTTATTTTTGTATTTGAATCTAAATATATATTTTTCGTGGCAAAGGAACTACACACATCTGAACTTCGCCTTCTAGACCAAGGTGCTCGCCTACTGCGACTGGATAGCAGATTCTATGCACTGGGAGAATGCTGTTCATGCTGTCATCTTCGAACCCCACCTCATTCACCTCAACTCCTTCTCCTGCTCTGGGCTGAAGTAAAACTTCCTTGTACCATCGTACATATGCAAATACATGCTGGCTCGCATGACCAGCAAACGAGTTTACAGCAGTATTGACAAAGAGGTACTGAATTTGGCCCGCGTATGGCTTGGTACTTCTACCATCACTTGTCTCAAACAAGGCTTGCATGAACGACCCACGCTGATTCTTCGTTTTGCTCTTGTAGATTTGCCCAAGAAGATTGATTGATTCAAACTTCTGTATCCGATTGTTAACAAAATTATCGGAATGACCAGCCTGACGATAATGAACAAGAGTTTGATCATTGTATGTCTCGCGATAGTATTCCAACAAATGCTCATACTCGGATTCATCCATGGAAATCTCCCCCTTTAGAGCTAAAGGAAGTGCGGAAGGGGGCAAAGGCTCGTTTCCCTTGACGATATCAAAGTTGATCTCAGGAGAATCAAGAAAAGCATTGATATCGAATTGGATTGAGGTGGCAGTGGAAGTGGAAGTGGCTATGGAATTGGCAGTGGATGCAGTGAGCTCAAGGATGATCGCCGAATGCTCAGGTCGAATTATTGGCAAAGTTTGGCGAATAAGATCTCCCTGGTATGCTTCTTCAAGATACTTCTTCATATAGGTTCCCTCAAACCCGTCTTTTCTATTTGTCGCATAGTTTTTCAAGATACCATTGCATCTTTCGAAACTAAAAAGCCAATAGCCATAAACCAGGCCAAAGTTCAGTACAGTCTCTCGCAGATGAAGATGGAGATGCATGTTTGGCGAAAGGAATGGGGCTTTATACAACTTCTCGCACTCTCTGCAGAAAGCCTCCAAAGATTGATGGGCTTCATCAAGGTGAGCCATGGATATGCTTGGCATTGAGAGGTACTGGCATGCATTGACAAACATTGTCCAGTTACCGAGATGAGCTTCAGGTAGACGACCACGCAGGAGAACAGGAGAGTACACCAAGCACCAAGACTTCCACTCATCGGCCTTCATGAATGGGAAGCCACGCCGATCTTTGTCCCTAATGGTGTGTAGTCCTCTGGCAGTACAAGCTTGTCAGCATCCAACTGCATTTCGGCCAAGTGTGCATCTGTGATGAGACCTGAAGATCTCCATTTCTCCATTATCCTCTTTGCTGTTCCGAGGTACAGGTTGTGCATCGGATCGATGACAGTGCACTCCACGAGGTTAAAGTAAACCAGGTCATGCAATTCTGACCATCGGACACCATTTTCCCTCTCCAATCTCTTTCTCTGTGCATCACTGCTGGGCATTCTCCACAACTCGGCATCACGGCGGTTTTCGGCATCAGTGCGAGGCACCCACTCAGAAAACACGAACCCAGAGTAGTCCACAGCATTGGAGTCTGGAAGGCGAGGGAACTGTCGGTTGCACTTATTGCATGCACATGTGCTTGAATGAGAGGTGAACCCACAAGTCTTACGGGCAGCAGGAATGTTGCAGGCAACAAGAAGAAGGGCAGCACGGACAAGAGCACCAGATGGGCACTGTACGGTAGGCATCACCACACCACCATACAACTGGTTGAGTTCCGCGACAAGGGGACGGAGGTAGTGATTGATCTCACTTGTCTTTGCTTCCTTGGGCCCTGGCATGAGACCAACGAGAACAACATTCTCCTTCTTGTACCGTTCCGATCTTGGCAAGTTGTTGATGCAAAGGTATATCGCACCACAGGAGTAAGTGACCCCATCGAAAGGTTGAAACCAATCAATGTTCATGGTAAGCATTATGGAGCGCTCATGATTCACAAATGGTAAACCATTGCTATCCTTCAGACTGTTCCACTTCGTACCGTCGTAAATGTCAAACATCATGCCTGGAACTTGCACTCTGATTCTCCAATGGTTGATGGTGTCTTCGAATCCAGGGCGGCAAAAAAGGATAGATGTTGTAAATGAGTATTGACTACTGCTGTAATTGAGAATAAGTCTGAAGGAAATAATATAAGGCCTCAGCTATTCCAGTCAAAGGTGTCTACCGATTACTTTATTATTTAACGCACAGGTTTAGCATGCGTGATAGTGATTATATTTCATATGATGATATCACCATAATATGGGATACATCAGTGGATTATTATAAGCATAATTATAACTCATAAACACATTTACTTTCGATGTTAATACTTCATTGGGACTACACACATTTATATAATTAATCATACATTAATTATCCCAAGATCACGTTGCTCTGATTAAGGCTCAGATAGGATCGATTACCTGACCCCAGTCATATAATTTTCCCAATCCAAAACAATATAAATAGCAGTAGTAGTTCAGTGTAGGAACCTGGTCAAACTTGGATACAAAATCTTTCTCAATAAACAAAACCTACACAAGTTCTCACGAATCTTCGTTCCTAATTTCAAATCTTGAATTCTTCCTCTTAAAAACTTCTTCAACTTCAACCACCACAACATTTTTTTTCGTGAACTACCATGAACCCCTCTGCTGAGAACTACCCCGCCGCCATCATCCCTGCTCATGATGAGGATGCCATGTCCGTCATGACTGAGGAGGACCTCATCGCCAGTCTGAGTGACAACATCTCCTTTGCCAGCTCCACCCCTGGACAATTTGTTGCGCCCTCTCCCCTTCGTCCCTTGGTAGCGAATGCTGCTACAACAGTCTTGTCTTTGTCAGAGAAACTTAGACTAGAACTTCAACAGCATGTAGAGGCTGTCAGCGCTGCTCACGCTATGAACGATGAGCAAGCAGCTGAATTAGCCCTTAATAAGGTCAGACGCGTCAAAGAAATGATAGATATAGAAATAGCATGCAGTCAGTACCTTTCGCCTTCTGTGAAAGTTGTAGAGAAGAGCAGTCGCACTGGAGGGTTGACTCTTAATAGAAGAGATCTTCCTAAGTTCCAGTTGGCAGACGATGTGATTAGATCCTTCCCGAATGAAGAGGTCTTTCACTCAGTAGACCACTTCCTTCGCACCTTCCAAAAGGTTATTGAGTCGTCCCTTCAGGACATTGAACTAGTTTGGAAGAGATTTTTACCGCTCTGCTTGCCTCATAGTGACGATGGATGGGTAGAGATGGATTTGAAGAAGTGTGTAGATTGGAATGCGGCCAAGATCTGCTTTACAGCAAGACATGGATCGCGCTTGGTGACATCCCGTTCGGTAAAAGAGGTATTTACCATGGTAATGCTTCCTTCTGAGTCGATTGGAGATTACTCCAAGAAGTTCCTTCAGGCTGTGTATGATGCCGGCCTCCCCAAAAACGATGCTTGTGTTGCCGACCGCTTCCTCGCTTCCTTGACTAGGCAAGTACAGACACTCTTGCGGCTCACCATGACCAGATTGGACTTCAATGGCGAGACCAAAAGAGATTGGACTGTGGAGCAGTTGACGCAGATTGGCAGAGACATCCTTGGCGACGACAATCGCATGTATGCCGAAGCTACCCAGCTCATTCCTGGTGCCAACATGCACACTGAGAAGAGAATGGAGAAGAAGAGAATGGAGGCGTACCCTCGCAAGAAGGTGCACTCCAGCAACAACCAGCAGCACCGAATCAGTAAGCCGGAGCGTTCCTTCTTCTGCTCGCACCATGGTAAGAATACTACACATGAGTCGAGCAAATGCTTCACCCTGGCCAACAACAAGGCCAAAGTAGCTGCCCCCACCAAGCGCAACCCCTGCAGGCGGTGTGGAGAAAACTACTTCCGTGGCCACGTCTGTAAGGACAGTGAGCCAGTCCTGATGGTCTCGCAGGTCCCTGCCAAGGAGAAGTCTGAGCAAGTGCTCAAGGCGATCCAAGACAGTGTCGACTTGGAACTCGAAGACATGTCTTTCGACTGTAAGTACCTACTTGACAAAATTGAGAGAAGGGTTAAAGCCAATGATGCATTTAATCTAACCACTCCTATTATTGTAGAGAACCACAAACTACTTGGAATGATTGACACTGGCAGTGCACGCACTTTCATTAGTTTACAATGTTTGAATGAAAATTTAAATATAAATAAAATAAATTCATCAAATGGTTCCTTCACTTTCTTGTCAAAGAATAGTGGTACTAAGCGATTGGGAAAAACTGATCCTTTAAATTTTAAATATGTGAATGGAATTACGTTTAAGCATGCACCCGAGGTGTTAGAGTTTAATACAGGATTTAATTTTGATATTCTTCTTGGAAGAGATATCTTAACAAAAATGAACATCGGATTGATTAATGTTGCATATGATATCAAAGGAGAATATATTCATTCAGATAACGCTAAAGACTATGCCGCTGTGTATGAGAATCTAAATATCGATAAAGAGAAAAAGTTTGAACCGGATAATTTGCCAGCTGGTACGGAAATACAGCAAGCAGAATTTATTCAGTCAATTCAGGCCTCACTGGATGAAAATAAGAAAATCCCAGTCGAGTCCTCTTGTCCTTTATCAGAATCTCTAATTAGATTACCCACAAAAGAAGGCGCTACAGCTTATAGACGTCAATATCCTATTCCCCATGCTCTACGACCAACACTTGATAAACAAGTAAAAGAATGGCTTGAGACAGGCACGATTGTCAAGTCCAAGACCAATACTTCCTTCAACAGTCCTATGTTGCTTGTGCCTAAAAGAAACAAAGCTGGAGAGATTGTGAGTCACCGAGTTTGTCTAGATGTGCGATTATTGAATCAGATCCTACCTCCCACATTCAACTATCCAATTCCTAAAATCCAAACGATATTCCAGAATTTGAGTGGAAAGAAATTTTTCACCACATTGGATTTATCGAATGCCTACCATCGTTTCAAAGTTGCACCTGAAGATGTTCATAAATTAACATTCACTCATTTAGATGGGCAACAATATAGCTTCATTAAAGGCTGCTTTGGCTTGAAGATGCTTACATCACAATTTCAACATGTCATGGCAACTTTGTTTGATAAAATTGACTGTGTGCAGAATTTTGTTGATGATTGTATTGTGGCTAGCGAAACATTTGAGCAGCATGTTAAGGATGTAAAAATAGTGATTGATAGATTGACATCGGCGAAGTTGATTCTAAACTCTGATAAATGTGTCTGGTTTCAACATTCAGTGCGATTGCTTGGTTTTGTCGTCAATGAGACAGGCACCAAGGTTGATAAGCGAAAGTTGACAAATGTTGATAAATGGCCTATTCCTAAAACTGCGAAACAAATTCAGCAATTTATGGGTTTGATTAATTACTTCAGAGACTATATTCCCATGATCTCGAAGGTGGCTGAACCTATTTCACGATTAAGTCATGCCAACAATGTAGCTGAGCTATGGACAGATGAGCAGACAAGAAGCTTTAAAGCATTAAAGGACATACTGCATCAGGATTTAATTCTTCATTACGCAGATATGTCACGTGAAATGTATGTGGCCACAGATGCTTCCCTTTATGGAGTAGCCTGTCTGCTTTTTCAGTGCGACGATCAAGGGCGTGATAAGTATATTAGTTTTGTGTCAACTTCCCTGAGCCCATCCCAACGGCGATGGAGCACCACCAAAAGAGAATTGTATGCAGTCGTTTTGGCGCTTGATAAATTCCGTCCATTTCTATGGGGCCGACAGTTCACCATTATTACTGATCATAAAGCACTCACTTATCTTCACACACAAAAAATTGCTAATCCCATGATAATTGGCTGGATTGAGACACTTCTTGACTTTGATTTTAAGGTGGTCCATATTCCTGGTTTGTTGAATAAACTACCAGACTTGTTGAGTCGCTTGTATCCTCCAGAGGATAGTTACAAGCTGGTGGAGGATGATGGATTGAGAAAAATCAGAACAAAACACTTGCAATCTAAAGATAGAGTTATTATTCGTAAGAAAAAGTACAGTAAGGACAAAGTGCTAAATGTACTTGCTACACAACTCATCGAAAATGTATCAGAGACTTCCGACTATATGTCGCCTCCTGAAGAAAAGCGAAATGGCTTGTTAAAAGAAGCACATTCGTTTGGTCACTTTGGTAGTCAAGCTATGGTGAATGATTTTCACTCTCAAGGATTACATTGGACTAATATATATGAAGAAGCAAAGGAGATTATTCGTTCTTGCTCTGAATGTCAGAAGCACAACATCAGCAAAAGAGGATATCACCCATTGACCAATGTTGTAGCTTTCCGACCATTTGATCATGTTGCAATTGACTTATGCGGTGAATTCCCAGTATCAGAGGATGGTCACACGTATATGCTAGTGTTAGTTGATGTTTGTTCCAAGTATATCATCTTGAGACCATTACCAAACAAAAACTCGACAACAATAGCTAAGGCATTGATAAAAATATTTGGAGATTATGGTTTTCCCAAAGTAATGCAAAGTGACAATGGGTTGGAATTTAGAAATTCTTTAATGGCAAGCCTATCGAAAGAGCTTGGTATTGATCGAAGATATTCAACGGCATATCATCCACAAGGAAATGGTATTGCTGAAGCCAGTGTGAAAGTTGCAGAGAATACTGTACGGAAAATGATGAGAGCGAACAGCAATGACTGGTGTCACTATTTACCAATTGTTCAGCTATGCATAAACAGACATATTCCTCAAAAGACACTGAGTGCACCCTTTTCACTAATGTATGCTCGCAGAGTTAATGTACCTGATGAGTATGGTGATAAAGCAAAATTCTCTCTTCCCAAAAACACGGTAACAATTGATGAATTGGAGAAGCAGATTGAATATATGGATAAAATAATATTCCCTGCCATAAACGAAAGAGTCTTGCAGATCAACGAAGAGTTAAAAAAGAAATACGATCACAAGAACATCTTAATAGACATCCCCAAAGGAATACACGTAATGGTCAGATTACCACATCGTCCAAATAAATTGGCACCAATCTATGAAGGTCCTTATACAGTGGTTCGAAGAAATAAAGGAGGATCGTATGAACTAAAGGATGAGCAAGGAGAATTGTTGCACCGAAATTACACACCCTCAGAACTCAAGATGGTTACCATCGATGAATCTACAATTGAGAATGAGCTCTATGAAGTTGAAGACATTCGCGATCATCGTGGTGCTGCTGGTGAAAGAGAATATCTGGTAAAATGGGTTGGTTATGGTGAACGGGCAAACACATGGCAAATGGCTAACGATTTTACCAATCCCACAATAATACAAAAGTATTGGAAGAAGGTCAGAGAAATCGAACGTTTAGAGAATGAGAGAGCCACGGAATTAGTGAATAAGAGTGCAGCCTCATTAAAGAAAACAGTTCAAATTCCAAGACATGATGGTAAAATAAAAAGGAATCGCATTGAAGAGCACAATGGAAGTAAGCTTCCTACCACACTGAGTAGAGAAGAAAGAATGTCCAAAAGAAGAGCAACAAAAAATTTGATAAAATAAACACGTAATCCACGGAGCTGAGTTTACAGTGCAGATCTCTTGAAGTATAAAAAAAAAAAAAAATTATGAGCGTAATTGACCCAAATGAAATTGAGCAATTCGACAAATTAATAAATAGTTAAGATGAGATGTTTTGCCGAATCAACAAAAGGTATTGTTGAATCTGGTGGAGGATAATGTTGTAAATGAGTATTGACTACTGCTGTAATTGAGAATAAGTCTGAAGGAAATAATATAAGGCCTCAGCTATTCCAGTCAAAGGTGTCTACCGATTACTTTATTATTTAACACACAGGTTTAGCATGCGTGATAGTGATTATATTTCATATGATGATATCACCATAATATGGGATACATCAGTGGATTATTATAAGCATAATTATAACTCATAAACACATTTACTTTCGATGTTAATACTTCATTGGGACTACACACATTTATATAATTAATCATACATTAATTATCCCAAGATCACGTTGCTCTGATTAAGGCTCAGATAGGATCGATTACCTGACCCCAGTCATATAATTTTCCCAATCCAAAACAATATAAATAGCAGTAGTAGTTCAGTGTAGGAACCTGGTCAAACTTGGATACAAAATCTTTCTCAATAAACAAAACCTACACAAGTTCTTACGAATCTTCGTTCCTAATTTCAAATCTTGAATTCTTCCTCTTAAAAACTTCTTCAACTTCAACCACCACAACAATAGACAATGTTTTGATTATGGAGTTATACATGTAGATCTTTTTGGGGATAGTCAAGGCTCTTGATGTTGCAAAGAAAAGAGCGTTTCCACATTCTCTACCAGAGAGTCTCTTGAAATTACAGCACTCTGGAACAACATCGGACTCTTCGTATACTTTGTTACAATCGCCACATGCAACAAACCGCTGGACACCTCGAGTCACGTCGCTGAGACCGGTCATAGAGTTGAGACTGCTCATACTGAGGGGAAGACGGAAAGACTGTCCAAAGTGTGCCAATACTTCGTTAAGAAACTTTAACAGAACAGCACCACCAGAATTGACAACATATTTGGATATGAAGAAGGCAGCAAAAGAAGCAATGAAAGCATGAGTAGGATCGACTGGCGTATTGGATGAAGAAAAGTGTTCTATTTGAAAAAAAAATCAATACTTGTTGACTTTATTGATTTATATGTGCTTTTTGTACTAACCTCTAACATCATCAGATTTATCGTCAGAAATATCCAAAATGGTTGCTTCAATGACATCCTCATCTTCGCTTTCAGAATCAAACAAGGAATCAATGCCAAAAAGAAGTAAGTCTTCGGCTGTTTTGTTAGGTAAAAAAGAATCAAATTATTAGATATTATAAATGATTATAAAACTTTAATAAAAATACTATGCATACCTTCAACTTGATCTTCGGCATCAACATTGTCTTCAAAGTCAATCTCCATGTCATTGTCATTCGACATTACTTCTATAACTGAGGCTATATTATATGAAAATAAATATTTAATTAAAATTGTCTCAATAATAATTTTCTTAAATTTGAACTTACAAGAAGATCCTGACTGATATTGTCTCACAATATCCTGTTGTGCATGTCTTCTGAGTGTTTGGGTAGACACCAAAACAAATCCCATGCTATTGGAAGAGCATTTAGAGCACTTGCATTCTGAATTGTTGTTGTTGTTTGACATATTGTGTGCGTGTGTTTTATTTTTTAAGTCTTTAGAATTGACAAGAATAGAAAATTGTTCAGGAACACAATTTAATATATATCTTTCCAAATTATACCAGCTTCCAAAATGACATAGTTTATTCCGGTTGTTAAAATGGGCAGTTCTCTAAACAGTAATTGATTGCCTCATTCTAAAATACAATAATACACGCTTTTGTTAAAACATGTCGTCATGTACATTTTATTGGCTGTAGAGCATATACAACAAAAATATTTGTAGTAATATCACGACCATTAACCTCATCATACTTATAAATAAATATTACAGCAATAAAAAGCTTTATTATCTCACTCAAAAGATATCATTTGGTTTAAGTTTCCTACAACTATTGACTCTGCGACATGGCTACAAGTCCCAAAAAGAAATCTCGCAGACATTTTTTACAAAAAAGGGTAAACTCGTTTTTTTATCCAATAAAACAGACCGAGCATTATCATCGCCGTCGAAAATAAAAAAGACAAAAGTGATGGAAATTTAAGCTACCACTCCACAAATAATAGTACCCTACGCCATAGATGAAATTACCCTATTTTTCCAGTGAACCTGCGTTAGGGACTCGACAGTCATTCCAGGAGCCTCTGCCCCACTTGGACCAGCTGCAAGTGGTGATACTTTTGTAGCAATCTCATGTTGCTCAATCTGGCCGGCAGCAACACAGCTAAGTGTTCCTCAGGCATTCTGTTTGCCTTTGCGTCCTGATTTTCTAATGGCATTGGAAGGCATGCTACAGATATTTACATATTTTTTAAAAAATAAATAAATATAAATAAATAAAGCATATATAGAAGAATATTATAAAATATTATTTTAATTATACAAACATACATGGTAAAGCACTATAATAATATGTGAGGTTTCTAATAAAATGTGAGGGAGGATATAATAATCTGGCAAATAGAAGTAGTATTTATATGTCCCAATACTTCTTGGGTGTACAGCAGCAAAAGAAAAAATTATAGGGACACACACTTTAAATTATAATAGACCCTAATAAATTCTGAGAACAGAACACTGCAAAAGACAACCGATTTAAGTAGCTTAATTTTTGTTTAAATCCTCCAAAAATCGGTGGTTTATGTTCAATTATAGTTCGGTATTTGTTACAAAAATTGGTTCATTTAGTTAACCAAATGATGAGATTATAGATACTAAAATCAATAGATAAATTGAGAGTTATAATTCCCCCTTTTCTTGAAATGTTATAATTGTCTGTAATTCTGGTTATATATTCACCCATAACTTCAAACCGTACCTAAACCCTACTTGTTATGGAATTGGCTTTGAACTCTCTACCTCTTAAAAATTTTATTTGCTTTAATTACATGATATTATTGGATAGACCTCACTAAAATCGACCTAGAATCAGTCTGAAATCTGACAGGAACCAGCATTCAAATGAATGATTGTAAAAAAAAACTTAAATAGATCTTGTTGACATCATCAAGAGATGACGCATTTGAAATAGAATCTCATGGAAAAAATGGTTTTTATTGATTTTTGAATGGTTGGAAAATATATTTAGCTATTTAATATGGACCACTAATACTTCTTTAAAAGTGTGTATCCGAATAGTACGACTTGTATACATGTTATACTTTCATTTATTGGACGGCTTGAATACATTGGATGACCTAACTTATACTATACTTCCCTACCTTATCGGTTTCATGTATTCGGTGCATTTTTTGGTTTTACACTTCTTTAACTGAAAATGAAATCCTTGGTATTTTCTTGGAGAATACGTTTGTTTGGAACTACATTAGCTTAGAGCAAAAAAAGATACAGAAGTATTAATACAGGTTTCTTTATGAAATAAAATGAAATAACATACTTACTAGATCATTTATGGGGGTTCATAACAAATCTTGCGATAGAATAAAAATCCATTTGATTGATATTTTCTTTTAAATAAAAAGCAAGAAATAAAATAAACAACTTTATTAATATGTATGCTTTGATTGTAAAGACACTTGAATTACTTACATATTATAGACACGCGTTTGCAAAAGGAGGCAAACCAGTATGACTTGAAAAAAAAGGCGTGACATATTTATCTGAGAAGAAGAATTGATAAGTTACATTATTTAAGTTGAGTTATATATATATTATCTTTTCATAGACTGACAATACCAGAAAGTATATAGTGTCAAGAGCAAAATATCTTTTATTACAAAATGGATAGAAGCCCTATCATTTTAAAAATAAAAAATATTTAGTCAGCAAGGTGTTTCATTTTAGTTAGGAGATTGTTTATTACCTGTACTGTTTTGAATGCTTGTTGAGTGTATTGTTTATCTAATATATATTAAGATGATTCTAAAAGCCAAAAGTATTAATAAAAGTTGAGATCTTAAGAGTAAGCTTACCAAGACATATAAAAAGAGACAAAATGAGAAGAGCAGGTTAAAGAAAGAGAAAATAAAAAAGAGGGGCGCGGTTATTCTATTAAATACGAATTCGGGGTTTTTTTTAAAAATAAATAAATCAAAAAATAATTTTTGTCTGTAACTTAGAATTGAAAGAAAACGCAGTTGTACTATGCCAGCAGCTAATACATATGAAAAACAGAGTATAGTATAAAATCATATTATTCAAATACTAATACATAATATAAGAATAAAACATGGATTGAAAATTAAATTAAAGAAACACATAAAATACTCACAACAAGAGTGGAAACATTCAAAGCTGTTCTTGTTACGTAATAGATCATGGTGTTCTCTGAGAAAGAATAAAACTTAAAGCCCAAATTAAACATAATATAAATAGACCCTTTGGATTTAAAAAAAAACAAGCTATTCTTATTATTCACAATGTCAAGAAATATCAATAACAATTCAGTTAACAATGATTTTGGTGAAGAACCTTCTGTGGGAAGGTAGATTAAAACCAGGCAGTCTTCAATTTTCTTATATTAATTTTATTTTCGTTTTTTATAAAAATCAAAAAAAAGCCCACCAAGAAATACCAATGATATAAGGACGATAATGTTGCAACACTCACAGGGAACAGTGAGCAATCAAAGACCACTAGCACCAAAGAGAGCTCGGTTGAATCTTGAAGGTGATTCGTCAGGTAGAACTCGTAACATCCATGATGTGTACGAGAAACTTGATACCATGAATGGTGTCTTAAACACTATTTTGAAGAACACATCTTCTGAGAAAGCTGAAGCCACTGCTAGTAATGCAGTTGAGCAAGACATGTTGCCTGGACGTCAACCAACATTGGATGTAAGTAATCATAATATGTTTTTATGTAGATAGAATTTAATATACATTCATATTATAGCAATTGTTGTGCGATTATTTGAGTGAAGAGAAATTGTATGACCAATACAATACCAATGAAAATAAAAACAGTGAGGGAAACAGACTCGTTCTGAAGTCTGTTACCGATTACCTTTGTCGTCAAGAAGAGGGGAAAAAGGTGGACTTGCCAACTCTTCGAACTAAGATTGTGCAGCACATTGGCAACAGAAAGTTGCAAGAAAAAAAAACAGGAGAAAAGAAGCAGGAAGAGAATCGACGGGCCTGTCTTCGTCAGCGACGTGTAAAGGTAAAAAACACATGCACACAATATACTAGATGTGATATTAAATTAGAAATATTATATATTTATATATAGTCGTGTGAAAGAAGACAATCTGCCTTGAAAGCCAATCGGGCACACTTTGTGAACAGCTTTGGAGAGAATGTTGACAGTATTCTCCATGCTGATTACATGTCAGACCTTGACAGTGATGACGAAAGAGAAGAAGAGGAACAGGATTCGTCCTCAGAAAAGAGTTTTTTTTGGAGATTCCGCCCAAGCTGGAGAAGCGAAGAGGTATAGTACAAAAAACTATTTTTTTGGATGGTGTGTAATAATACTTACATTGATATATAGGGAGATAGGTTCGTTGATGAACTTGATGCGGATTATGAGGCAGCTCATGATAAGAAAAATAATATCTGTCCATTCGAGCATAAATTTAAAGGAATAAGAGATAAGCAGCTTAGTAAGACCAAGGCAAACAAGCTGCCATCATGGTCAAAGAAACAATAAGACAATAAATCAAACATTTTCTAATAAATTGATAAAAGAGTGCAAAGTGGTATTTTATTAATATTATTTAAGCTTCTATTTTTTGGGGTAAAGGGATTACTAAACGTTTAAATTCACTAGTTATAGTAAACCTATATTTAGCAATTGCGATTGGTGAATATAAACGATGTACTGGAATAATACATTCATAATTAAGTACAGAAGAAGGTTCATTCCAGAGCTCAATGCCTTCATTTAACATTGGCTGGTAACTCCCTGAAGAATAACTAGAGTACCACTCAACAAACGCAAAAGTATGGGTGATGACAGTTTCGTTGATGGTTATCAAATGTTGAAATAAATACAGTATACGGCCAGAAAATGCTGCTTTATCTTCACTGTTATTCTCAAGATAATAGGCGCGGAAATAAGATCCAGAAGAGTATTCCTGTCCAAGAAGAGATATCCATTTCATTTTCTCAATTCGGTTATTGACAAAAATCTGGTTAGACTCGCAGTTTGAATAATGGCCAAAAAGATCGTGACTGCCATACGCGTGTCTGTAAAACTCCAGTAAACATTCATAATGTCCCTTGCACATTGTAATCCTTTGGTCGAGTTTAATCAGAAACACTGAAGGGGGCAACAGCTCACAACCCAAAGCAGAATGACGAGGGTTTAATAAATATTCAACAAAGTCAGACAGAGAAAAGGTACTGGCAGTAGAAGATGGATGCAATGCTGCTAATTGATCTTGACTATTTGAAATGCGATGCAGAAAGTCAATTGCGAACTGGGGGAGATGGTTGACAAAAGATTGTATGAAGCTGCCAATGTATGTTCTCTCCAAAAATCTCTTCATCATTGTTGATTCAAAGCCGCCTTTTTGATTTGTTTCGATATTCTTCAACAAACCATTGTATCTCTTGAAACTGAATAACCAGAAAGCATAAATTGGCCCAAAGTCATGAACACACTCGCCAAGATGAAGATGTAGATGCATATTCGGTGTCACGGCCGATTTTCCATACAGTGTCTGAAATCTTGTACAAAACAATTGGAGTTTACTGTGGGCTTCGTCTATTTCTTTGTCATTGATCGAAGGTTTTGTGAGTAAGCGGCATGCGTCAACAAACAAAATCCAGTTTTCGAGATTCTTGGCTGGGAGCACATGCTTCAGAACAAATGGAGAGTATATGACGCACCACGACTTCCACTCGTCAGCTTTCATGAACGAAAACCCATCGGCAATCTTCTTTGTTATACGCGCATATCCACAAGGTACAACAATACCATTGGCAAGCTCTTGCATAGTTAACTGATTCTTTTCATTGATGTAGTTACACTCGCGCCATATCTGAATCATTTGCTTTGCAGTTCCAAGATAGAGGTTATGCATCGGGTCTATAACTGTAAAGCGGACTGGGTCAAAGTAAGATAACCGATGAAGCTCTGACCACCGAGTGCCGTTTTCTTTTTCTAGGCATGTTCGCTCAGTATTGTTCAATGCATTTGCCCAGCTGACAGCGTGTTCCAGATTCATTGTCTTCGTGCGTCTCACCCAATTGCTATACTTGAATCCAGAGTAGTCAAGCTTGCTGGTCTTCTTTATAGTCGTGAATTGTCGTTGACATTTGTGACAGGCGCATGTGCTCATGTGGCCAGTAAATCCAGAGGTTTTGCGAGCGGCAGGGATATCACAGGCAACACACATCAATGCAGCACGAACAACAATCTTTCTATTTTGTGAGTCTGTCATTTCTACACCAATGTACATCTCCAACAATTCGTCAACGAGCGGCTTCAAGTAATGATTCATGCTGTCAGTGCTTGCTTCCTTCAGCCCAGGCATCATACCAACAAGAATGACATTTTCAGACTTAAGGCGTTCACTCCGTGGGAGATTGTTGATAGAGAGATATATCGCACCACTGGAATGTGTTCGTCCATCAAATGGCTGAAACCAATCGATATTCAGAGTCAACATTAAAGATCGGCTATCATCAACAAACTGTCTGCCATTGATGTCTTTAATATCACTCCAAACTGCACCATCGAAAATGTCAAGTTTGGTGTTTTCAATTATTTGACGACTTCTCCACAAATTGATCTTGGACACGAAATCTGGCTTGGAGAATTTTTGTTGCAAGGCGTACTTCAGAGAGTTGAATGGATATACCATTGCTGGAAGAGAACGATTTCCGGTTGACACTTTAAAGAGATTGTTGTTGCAAATGGCGGATTGAGAGAATTTCTTAAATGTACAGACTCTTTGACTTGTTTCCGGAGGATAAATCGAATGACATTGTGAGCATGCAATGTATACTGTCATTCCGTCTGTTGCCATGTTAAATCCTGTCTTATGCTTCAAGCTATTGATCGTCAGTGGAAGGGCGCCAGACATATCACAGAGAGACAGTAGAGTATTACAAAATTCAATGAGAATCGATCCACCGCTTTCCACCAAAAAGATCAAGTGAAATATGACAATGAATACTGCAACAAAGCGGATATACAAGGGCATGTTATCAAAAGACGAAGGACGAACTATGAAGACAAAGGTTAAGTTAGTTTAAATTAATATATTGATTAATTGTCTATACCGTATTAATTCATACCTGATTCTACTATCGAGGTCCCACTGGTCTCATCAAAGTTTTCTTCTTGTTCAAAATCAAAACCGGTATTGCCTTCTTCAATCTCATCGCCATCAACCACAAATGCTCCTGTAATTGTATCTTCGGCAGTAAAGATGGACTCTTTTTGGGACAAAGGTAAGTCAACTGGAAAGGAATAATTGTTGTAAAGATGTAGAAATAAAAATATAATTACAATTATAATCATATAAAAAATAAAAAATAAAAAAAATATATATCAGTTTCAATTATTATTTTGTTCATTTATTTTATTTTATTTTCTTACCTTCTTGATCAAATTCAATGTTTTGTTCTTCATTTTCGTCTTCATATTCGCCTTCGCCTTCGTTCTCGTAATCATAATCATTGTCATTGTCACTGTCAAT